GTGTTTCGGGCAATAGTATCTGCTCATATTCAGCCAAATGCTTCAGAACTCATTGGACGCCGCTTCACAGTGCAGATGGACAATGACCCAAAGCATACTGCAAAAGCAGCCAAAGAGTTTTTTAAGGGAAAGTAGAATGTTATGCAATGGCCAAGTCAATCACCTGACCTGAATCCGATTGAGCATGCATTTCACTTGCTGAAGACAAAACTGAAGGGAAAATGCCCCAAGAACAAGCAGGAACTGAAGACAGTTGCAGTAGAGGCCTGGCAGAGCATCACCAGGGATGAAACCCAGCGTCTGGTGATGTCTATGCGTTCCAGACTTCAGGCTGTAATTGACTGCAAAGGATTTGCAACCAAGTATTAAAAAGTGAGTTTGAAATAATCATAAATGATTATTATTCTGTCCCATTACTTTTGGTCCCTTAAAAAGTGGGAGGCACATATGCAAACTGTTGTAATTCCTACACCGTTCACCTGATTTGGATGTAAATACCCTCAAATTAAAGATGACAGTCTGCTGTTAAAGCACATCTTGTTCGTTTCATTTCAAATCCATTGTGGAGGTGTATAGAGCCAAAAAATGTTAGAATTGTGTCGATGTCCCAATATTTATTGACCTGACTGTATGTAATATGTACAAAAAATCTTTCTTTATTGTGCATCATGGGACACAGAGCAGGCTATAATCATTTACTATCTTGGTTATGCGTCACCTGTAGGTGAATGGACACTGGCAGACCAAAACAGACAGGAAGTCTTTCCATATAAAACTCCTACACAGTAAGTACTTTAGTAGTTTTTTTCGCCAGTGTCTGCCTGGTCTCAAAAATGGTTGTAATAGGATCAAGGGACTGGATATCTGGATGCATTCGGATGGCTGAATGGTAAAATGAATGGTACTTGGGCCTTGTATGGAAGATGGAGGACCCAACAAGGTTTTGCCTGTAATGCGACCATTTTGACGCTGGACCCTGCGTTACGGATCTCTGTGCATTTTTCTAATGACCAGGGTGTTTTTCCGTCAGGTTGCTGTACAGGTCCAAGGGAGTGGACCCCAGAAAACCTAGTGGGACCGAGTCCTTGAAGGTCCTTAAGTGACAAGACCCACCGTGATGGGTGAAGGTTGGGTGTCTGTCTGTTAGCTGAGCCCTGTGGCAAGATGGGTAAGTTTGCCCCTTTTTTTTCTCTCTTGAAAATAGAGATAAGCAAATGAAAAAAGAGATGCATTTTTTAATACGTTCATTTCTATCTGGCGAACAAAGATTTTTTTTGGCTACACTTCATGAACTTGTGCAAGCACCAATACTGCCTATGCAGCCACAGCAGTGACAGCTTTTGTCAGGACCAGGTATCCGCAGTCTTTTTGTCCTTTTGGCTCTTTGCCACTAGAGGGTATCGGGAGAATTGTAACTTTTCTGTGTGTGTTGCTAGCCGGTATGTCTTTTTGCATTTTTGGGGGATTTCTGACGGAATTCACGTGGGGTAACCATACTTTTTTTTTTTTTCGTAGCTAAAGTCCCAATCCCCTTGCGGGATTTCGGAGCACAAGAAGAAGCACATGTTGCTTTTTGCCATGGGCGGTAGCAGCTGGAAGCTGTGGGCTGCCATCTCACTTAAGTGGACAGTGTCCTACATATGGGGCTCCTCTGAGGTTGCTGCAAGGGACACAGCAGGCTTTCCTTTGGGCATGTGGGTCCTTGTTGGGTGTGTGGTCACAGTTGGTAGTCTGGACTGGCTTCTGCTTTAGTGCTGCCATTTTTTTTTTCTGTCTGGGCAGTGATAGCTGCTAATTGCTGGATTACAGCCTTGTATGATGGGGTGGTGTACTGGTGGGTTAAGTGTGTTATTGTCACAAGCCCCAGTTGCAGATTAAATATGCTTTAGAGTAAGCAATGTCTTCCAGAAATCAAGTGGGGGAACCATAGCAGGAAGGGGCATTGTGTACTGCAGTCAGGTCCTTAGGATCCAAGTCGACGTTCCACTGTGTTGGCTTCCCCTGAAAGATAATTTGGGCAATCGGAGCTGTTTCGCTTGTATGGCATTGTGGCTACTGCCAATGCGTCTGCTTCAGCATACAATACTAAAGATGATTTAGCATCAGCCTTGGCTGGATTGAAGAGTAAAATAGCTGAGATGATTTCCTCTGTCACGCAGGGCAGTAAAAAAGCGTGAAAGATTCTCTCTCTCCCCTGATCCTCCTTTTTGGAGCAGGAATTGGTAGAGAATATGGAGGAAGTGGCTGTTGATGAGTTGGAGGAAGGTCTAGCAGAAGACTCCATTTCTGGGGAATCAGTGCTTGAGAAGGGCCAAATGTTGTCGCAGAAATTGTTGGTCAATCTCTTACAGAAATGTTCAGCTCCGGATTCAATTTGCCGTCACTGGAGACTTCTGAGGCCTCCTATTCTTCTGTTCAATGCGGTTTCTGCAGAATTCTCAAGCATTCCCATTGTACCTATTCTTAGAGCAGGTGATATATGCTGACTGGGACCACCCAGATAGAGTTTTTTTGTTCCTCCCAAGAGGTTTTCGCTGCTGAATCTCATGGAGGAAAAATGTATTAAGAAATTGAGCATGCCGGTGGTTGATGCAGCTGTTTCTTCCTTGAATAAAAATTTAGCTTGTCCAGTGGACAATGCCCAAGTTTTTAAGGACCTGGCTGATAAGAAGTTGGAATCGGTGCTAAAGGCTTCTTTTGCTCTCACTGGGTCTGCTGCACAACCTGCTGTAGTGGCATTTGGCGTTTGTCAATCCCTGAAAGACCGTGTTAAATGGTTAGTTAAGATTCTTCCTGGTCAGGGAGAGTATTCTGCTGAGGAGGTGGCAGATTAGCCCTGCACCTTGTGCTTTTTGTTGTGGATGCCCTTAAGGATTCAATACAGCAAGTTTCAGGATTGTCCCTCCTGTCAGTGCACCTGCGCAGAATCTTATGGTTAAAAAGTTGGTTGGCGGAATTGCCTTGCAAGAAATTGCTGGCTGAATTTCCCTTTCATGGCCAGCTCCTGTTTGGTGATTTGGATAAGTACATCCAGAAAAGTCGGGGGGAGTTCTCTCCTACCAGTTAAAAGAAGTACGCGTCCATCGTTTAAGGGCTCAAGTACTCCTGCTGCTATTTCTTCAGCTTAAAGGCAGTTTCAGTGCCCACAGACATCTGGACATGGAGGCGGATCTCAAGGCCAAGGGGTAGAGATAGCCATGGGTTTAGAAGTCCTCTAAGGCTGGCCTAAGCACTGTGTGTATGAAGGGACTCTTTTGGGTGGGGGGAGGCTTTTGCAATTTTCAAGTGCCTGGGAGGAGGTGATCCAGGACAAATGAGTAATTTCCACGATTTCTCGGGGGTACAGACGGGAATTTCAGGTTCCTCCCCCCTCCCTGGTTTTTGAAGTCCAACGTACCCACAAACCAGCTGAAGATAAATTCTTTATTTCAAGCTCTCGATTGTTTGCTGTCTGAAGGGGGTAATTGTGGAAGTACCGTCAAGCGAGAGGTTCAGAGTCTTCTACTCAAACCTGTTCATGGTTCCAAAAACAAACAGAGACGTGAGGCCTATACTAGATCTCAAAGCTCTGAACGTATTTCTAATTGTTCCATCTTTTAGATGGAATCAGTCCGTTCAGTAGTAGCCTCGCTGCAGGTAGGGGATTTTCTAGCATTCATAGATATCAAGGATGCATACCTTCATGTACCAGAATTTAAACCTCATCAAATGTTAATGCATTTTGCAGTAGGAGGTCATTATTATTATACAGGGTTTATATAGCACCAACAGTTTGTGCAGTGCTTTATAATGTGAAAATTTTCAGTTCATGGCTCTGCCCTTAGGGCTTGCCACAGCCCCTCGAGTTTTCACAAAGGTTTTTGCTCCAGTATTGCCCTACTACTGAAAGCCCAGGGAAAATCGGTACTAGGGTATCTGGTAAGGTCCCACCCTTTAGGGTAAGAGTGCACTCTGCCAGGAGTGGGGGGGGCCTCTTGGGCAATTCACCATCAGACGTCGGTGGCTCAGGTTTGCAAGACTGCTAACTTGTTTTTAGTGCATACATTCAGGAGGTTCTACCAAGTGGATGTTAGAGCTACAGAGGATGCTACTTTTGGCTGCAGCATGTTATGGGTGGCAGAATATCTCTGATAACGCTGTCTGGGATTGGTGTCTACCTCCCCTCAAATGTATTGCTTTGGGACATCCCGGATAGTAATAACTATAGCCCGCTCTGTGTCCTGTGATGTACGATAAAGAAAATTAGATTTTTTTTCTACTTGCTTACCTGTAAAACCCATTTCTTGGAGTACATCACAGCCAGTGTATATTTACCTAATAGGTGGCATGTATCCCAGATAGTAATGATTATAGCTGCCTTTGTATCATGTGATGTACTCCTAGAAATAGATTTTACAGGTAAGTAGAAAAAATCCAATTCTATTAATTAATTTCTTTTTTGGTTCCTGTCGCTTAACAGTTCCTTAAGGAACAGAAAATTGAAGGGTTAAAATGAAAACAGGAATCGGGAGATAGTTGCAGTTTCAAGTCAGCAATCTCTTAGGCTGTTTCTTTTCAAACTGTGGTTAAAGAACACACATCCAAATGGATGGGAACTTTTCCTTTGCTAAGCATAAAAACGTTTACATATTTAATGCCGCTCTTAATGTCTGTGGTCTTTCACTATGACTATGCCTAAGAGAAGAACACGAGGAATATGTACAAAATGTGAAAGCACTCAACATAGAGTTTTTAAATGAAGTAGACCTAGATATTTATGGTATGATTTGCAAGACTCTTGGCTCCAAATATTGAGTATCTGCTTCCAACTCAGAGATTACCAGATTTTATTGGTTTCCCTGACTCTTCCTAAATCTACATGTTATGCAGACTGATCTTCATGAATACTCCAGCAGTGAAATTGACATAAGCTGCAATAATTTGTGTTCTAAATAAGGATAAATTAAGTACACTACAAATATTTACTTTGTTGTATTAATAGCATTCTTCCTTCTACACAGATTCAGCTGTAAATGCATCACAAACAGGCCTCCCAGGATGAGGAAAGCAAACAGGAGTGCAGGCTCCGTCCCCAAAGTACCTGCCACAAATAAACCACAAGGCACCGAAAGGGCAAAATCCGAGAGCAACGCACCTACTTCATCCAAGTTAACTCGCCCAGGATCTTCTTTATCAAAGGTAAAAGAAAAAGCTTTGCTAATGATATGAAAATGCCTATGTACTGTAGTGGGCACAGATGAGTTTTTACTGATCTTTAGTTTTAGATGGATCCTGCAGTGATGGCGGTTACCTATCACTGACAGGAGTGCTATTCTCGAACTGTAGAAACTAGTGCTAGTTCTAGGGCAGGTATATGACTATGCTTGCTGCTTCAGAAGTGTGCTCTGCCCTCGGACTATCATACTTCCCATGAATTGGACAGCCTCCAGCTCTGATTGGGAACTTTGACTGTAATGCATTACAGCCTTCCAGATACTTCTTTCTCAGCCTGATGGATCACCAATCAGATACACACTTGCTAGGCAGGTATGATTCTGATTGGTGGCTGTAGAGAATATCTTTGTACTGACAGTTTATTCCATCCTTTCTATATGTAAGCCATACAGGAGCCCACAGTGGTTTTGTTTGTCATATGTCTGTTCCTTCCTTGGCTACAGTACAGATCCAATGCTGCAGCTGCGGGGGATGGAAAAGTGCGGTTTTGCCAAGTATTGGTCCTGCTATATTCACAATGGCATCATTAATAACGGACAGCATTATGGTCTCTTCACTCTAAAGGAAGATACTCTCCAACTAACATAAAAGTTACGCACTGAAAACCATTACGTAACTTTAGTGGCAAAAAACATTAAATACAATGAGAATAGTGTCTTCTGTTTTTAGAATATTTTCAGCACGGTATTGGTAATACATGTAAAAATAACATTAAGTCTCTTGCACACAGTCATCTAAGGCCATAGAACGTACAATGTGCACGTATTTTTCCACATGGAAGCCTCAGCTGCTGTGTACAGCCACACATATGAATCAAATACAGAATGCATCTGTATGCAAGTATACTCCTGTACCTGCGTAAGTACGCATATGGTCATTTGCCTCTGGACCAAGTCCTGGACCAAGTCTAGTGTATACACAAGTACTGACGTATTTACATGTACAGCCGCGTCCTGTAATTGATTTCTATAAGCAGCTGTATGCATCAGCTGTGGTTCCTGGGCAGGGAAATATGTCCAAATTGTAAAATTGTATGTCATATGGCGCCAGGTGCCCATAACCTTTAGCTGGTAATAATGGTGAACATTGCCCTGAATAGCCTAAAGATCGGATCAACTCTGTTGGGATTCATGTCTATGAGAAATGTATTCTAAGCAGGCATGCAAATAGAGTTGAGTACTAGCGTAGAAGCATGACAAGATGCTGCAAGCAACATCCAAAGTATCTGTGACTGACACACGATTCAACACCTTCTGCCTGGGGACCACTCGTGTAGGCATTTAAGACGCTGGTAAAATACGCAGACTAGAAAATGCATAAAATCTATAATGGATAAAGTTCCAGTTTGTGTACACAAACTCCCTTGATTGGTATTAGGTGGTAGTATGATTATGCATTCATTCAGTTTTCCCACCTCTGAATTTGTCCACAACAATCATATTCTCAAAGACAATCAAATGTCAATCCTTTTCAAACAGTGCTTTCTTCACATACCCTCACTTTCCAGATGATGTTCACCTCATGTTTGTATATGTACATTGTGTATTTCAGATGGTTATTTACATGGATTTTCTCTTTCCACAAGGCAAGCCCTGTTTCCCAGTAGTGTCTCGGCTTCTCCCCTGTAGCTCTCACCAGCTTGGATATCTGCTCTGTTGCTTTCGTTGCACAGGTGGATTTCCAGTGTTACATGGAAAATACAGAAAGGGCACACAGGCTGCTCCACTATTGCACTGAATCCTTTAGTATTCACTGTGCTAATTCAGTGCTATGTGCACTCTTTCTGTATTTTCTATGTAACATTGAAAATGCGCCTGTACTACTGAGGCAAGAGATCTAGTATACAACTGGGAAATGGCCATTGCCTCGTAGATAGGTAAAGTCACGTACACCACTATCAGAAGCATATATTGACTATCAACTTGAAGCCAAAACATCTGGTAAGTGACCCTGTGTGCACACTCTGAGGGAGAGAGGGAGGAAAATGCAGAGTGAGTTAAGAAAGTGCTGCTTCTCTGAAAAGGTTTTCTTTTTCAGTTTGTGTAGCAGCAGGCAAAATATTCCTGCTTTCTGGTTTTATTGTAGCTGACATTCTCTTTGTTAAAAACGTATATTTCTGCACTGCTTATGCAAACAAAATAATTAAGTAAGCTTCTGCAGTGAATCAGTGTGAAATAAAACATGACAAAAATTATAAACTGCAGTGTTACAATAAACTGTCCTATGCAATAATAAAATAAAACAAACATTGACCAGAATATTGTTCAAACTACACACATTTAAATAGTGAAAAACAATAAAAAAAAAGTCTATAATGGAACAAGTCTATTCAGTTTTTTCTGATTGCCAACCAGTGAAGGCCTCAAAAATCTTCGTGATCCTCCATTATAAAAAAGAGCTCCCTTAACAAAAAGTGTCCCAACCAACTGGAGAAAACACTCACCTTAAGTTACACCTTTCTTTCATGGAAAGGATATAATGCTTAATTAGGCAACCTAGCTCCCTTTCTTTGTAACACGGTCATTAAAGCTGATGTTTGGGTATGGCTTTTTTGCAGTTACATTGGTTCTTGGAGCAATACAAGTATGTATGTGCCATACCTGGCTGATGATCCCTCCAGATACTGGAAATCACTGTAGTAAGCACCACTACTACAGTGATTGTTGCTGTCTGGGTTCCATGCCAAGCCATTGCCCCGCTGCATAGTGTACACAGGGGGATGCCCTCTCGGCACAAGCACCATTCACAGAATGACTTGAATTTTTCTCAATGAATGCAAAGCATTCTCTGATTGAACGAGGTGAAGATAATGTCACCACCCTGCCTCAGTGCCATGTCCAATCAGAGAATGTTTTGCCATCATTGAGAAAATACAAAGTGTTCTCTGAATGGCAAAGGAACCAGAAGACCGTGGCAATCAACTGTAGTAGTGGTGCCTACTGCAGTGATTTCCAGCTTCCACAGAAATGGCCTATGCAAGCTGGACCAATGTAACTATGCAAAAAAATCCATACCTGGATTTCAGCTTTAAACCTTTCAGCATGGGTCAGTGGAACAACTCAAAGAAAGAGAATGTCAAATAATTTTCACATAGAGTAAGGTCCCATGCACACTGGGCATTTAGCCCCAATGCATAGATCTCGGGTTCAGCTGTAGACGAAGGACACAGGTGCACCCTCCAGCCCCACTAGAGAGTGCACCTACCAGTTCGAATGTTTAGGGCAGCATACTTCCAGGGACAAATTCTCGGAATGCAGAAGTCTGACACTAAATCTATGGATTTAAAGTGATTGTAAACCTCAGACATCAAATATGAACAAAACATATCATATCTATAGTGTGTACCTGTCTCAATCCAGAGCACAAAGTGCCATTTCTGTCTGCTGCTTTGTTCCTCTATCAGCATGAATCACTTCTGACAAGCTTTCCTGACGCCAAGATAAAAATGGTGACAGGGGAGGGCACAGACTATGATTGACAGCCTCAGCTCTGTTTCTGTGTGCTGTTCAAAGGGGGTCTCCAAACAGCTCTCAGAGAGCTTCTGAATTATGTAACTTCAGCTCCCTGCCCCCTACTTTTCATAGCTGAGAGATCCTCTTATAAATCCTACACTTTGAACATTATTTAGGGGACAGAAGGCTGCAGGAAAACAGGTACAACTTATATAGGTGGATTTGTTTTATCTCTGTGTATCACCTGAGGCCAGTCACTTCACTGGGTATATGTTGGGGTTTACAACCACTTTAACTATTACCCAAAACTGTTGCAATCAAAGCATGACGTGAGTGGTAACTGTCAAAGTTGCATATTTTCTCAACAGAACTGTCAAGCTATCAAATGGCTGGTGTCAATAATATCACATATGCAGCAACATGACAACTGCAGATCAAACCAAGGCTAAAGAGATGGTGGTTTCCTTGGCTGGAAAGGATAGGAGGGTTTAGTTCTGCTGGGCTGGATAGGGCACCTGTGCCCCCCATCTGCAGCTAAATGGGCTGCATGCCCAGTGTGTATGGGGCTAAATGGGCTGCATGCCCAGTGTGTATGGGGCTAAATGGGCTGCATGCCCAGTGTGTATGGGGCTTTACTCTTTTATTCACCAAACATAAAAATCGGTCCACTTACACAGCAAAGATTGCTTCACAGCACGTAATGAGGCTTAACAGCTTGCCTTCCTTGCTTCACAAGAGCTAGTCCTCTTGCACTCCAGGGCCAGTCCTCTTGCACTCATCATCATGTGGTACACACCATAACTCAGCCGGACAGTAGATTTACTAAAAATGGAGCACTCAGAATCTGGTGCACCTGTACATGGTTGCCAATCGGCTTCTAACTTCAGCTTGTTCAAGTAAGCTTTGGTAATAAGGCTAGGCCATGTCTCACAAAACGCAGGGAAATGGTCCCTGCACCTAACCAGAAATCACTGCCCGCACTGAGAACCGCACTACAGCGCGATTCCCTGTGCGGGTGGGATTTCCAGTGCTGGCGGCGGTCCATTAGCATTAATGGCACCTGCCTCAAGGATCCTGCATTTTGTGTGCAGGTGGTGGCAGCTGGGAGACTAAGTGTGGGTCCCACAGCGGCTTCCACTTGCACTAGTGTGAACCGAGCCTAAAAACTGAATGCTTATTGTTTTCTATGCAGAGCTGCACAAGATTTGGCACTTTCCAGTTTTAGTAAATCCTATTCCGTCAGTCAAGACTTTGCCACGGTACTTTGTTCCCTTCTTGGACTTTTTTCACTTATTGTTTTGCCCTATTTCAGTACGGTTTTAAACAGTATTTTAGGTAATGTTTACTTTTTTTTTTACTATAGTATAGAATATTGTAGCACTGCAGTTTCTAATTTTTGTTAGATTACATTCTCTCATGCTATTTTTATGGTCCTCCTTAACAGCTTTTTGGCTCACGTCAACCTTGTTAACTTTTCCCCACTTCTCTGGTATGTATTCTAAAAACTTCCAC